TATGAGGACGGGCTGGCTTCAGATATGAGGAAGGTTTCTGGGCGTGGAGGCTTCAAATATGAGAGGTTTCTGGGGTGGAGGCTTCAAATATGAGAGGTTTCTGGGGTGGAGACTTCAAATATGTGAGGTTTCTGGGGTGGAGACGTCAAATATGAGAGGTTTCTGGGGTGGAGGCTTCAAATATGAGAGGTTTCTGGGGTGGAGGCTTCAAATATGAGAGGTTTCTGGGGTGGAGGCTTCAAATATGAGACAGGTTTCTGGGATGGAGGCTTTTCAGATATGAGGGAGGTTTCTGGGGTGGAGGCTTCAGATATGAGGGAGGTTTCTGGGGTGGAGGCTTCAGATATGAGGGAGGTTTCTGGGGTGGAGGCTTCAAATATGAGACAGGTTTCTGGGCGGAGGCTTCAAATATGAGACAGGTTTCTGGGCGGAGGCTTGAAATATGAGGGAGGTTCAGATGATGAAGTATAATTCAGTTGGTGGAGACTTGCAATAAGAGGCGAGGTTCAATCCCAAAGCACCCTCTTTCCCAGAACCCCCTTCCACTCCCAATACCCTCCCAGAACCCCCTCCTCCCTCTCTCAGCACCCTTCCTCCCAGAACCCCCTCCTCCCAGCATCCTCTTACCAAAAAAACCCCTCCCTCTCCCAGCACCCTCTTCCCCTCCCAGTACCCTACTTCCCCCCTCCCAGTAATCTCCCCTCCCCCCGTCCCCCCAGGCAGGGGCAGCAAGCACCCCCCCCCCACACTTCAGCTACTGCTCACCCAGGGTTATTCTACAAGTTTGCTCGTGGTGGTACCCTGTTATGGGGGAAGTTGGGCGTGGGGATGGGCCAGGGAATGGCAACTTGCGCACGAGTGGGCGTTGACGCTGGCGTGCGCACGCCCACGCCCACGCCCCACGCCCACGTCAGCTTCGCAATACTTCCCCGCCGTTGCACGTCCAGTTGTACACACGCACGTCAACTATGGAAAAAGTCCAGATATAACAGTAAGACTTGGTCACTGGTTCCGAGACGTGTATTAAGAGCAAAGGCTGAGAGAAGGGGACGTCACCACACTGGAGAAAGAAGGCACAGCATAGACATGACAACGACATATATGATTTTTTGGGAAATTGATAGTGATGACAGAAACACTAGAGAGAGCTACTTCAGCCGAAGAGCATCATTCAAATGAGACGATCTAAGAGACAGACAGGGTTCCACGCTCAATATATTTCGATAAGAAAAGCGAGGCAGAATTTGCTTTAAGAAACCAGCAGAATGAAAGTTGGACTCAGGAGCTAGAACCCAACTCTGCGAGTACATTTAGCTAAGCAACTTTAAATGAACACACACAATGCTTCACATCTTTTTTTTACATCTATCCCTTTCTTTTTCATCCTAATGCTTAGATTGGTCTCCCTCCTCTTACACCTTATTCTCAACCCCCTGTTTAACCTCTCCCCCCTTCCCCTATTCTTTCCCTACTCCATCTACCGTCCCCCCCCTCTATTCCCTCAGTGTCTTTCAGCTGTCCTCAGCCTCTAACCTCTACTTTACTCCTATCCTCCTTCGCTCTTATCCCCCCCTCCATCTCTCCCTCTCCTCCACGTCTCCTCACTACCCCCTCCCTCTCCTCCACATAACTGCTCTCCTCCCATTACTGTGACAAATCTGAACTGCTTTTTTTTTTTGTGCATCCATGCCTGTTGCCAACTGTGCGGCCGGGTTGATCAGTATTCAACACAAACAAGCTTCTCTTTCCTTTAACAAACGCCAAAGTGTTTATTTTTTTGGTATTATTATGCATTTAATCGCAATGGAAGTATTGCCGTGGCTTTTGAGTTTATTCGTATCATTTGTGTGCGTTTTGGCATTTATACCTGTTTAATATTATTAATGATTTTGTCGATATATATATATATATATATATATATATATATATATATATATATATATATATATATATATATATATATATATATATATATATATATATGCGAACAAGCCTGAATGGTCCCCAGGACTATATGCAACTGAAAACTCACACCCCAGAAATGGGGTGTGAGGAGGGATGGAAATAGCCTCGGCTACCATCTTCTTTTGTCCGGTCATGTTGGTCGAGCGGTTAAGGTGTCCTGTACGCCAGCAGAGTGCTCCTGGCAGTATGGGTTCGAGTCACTTCTGGGGTGTGAGTTTTCAGATATATATATATATATATATATATATATATATATATATATAAAACTTGAGGTGATTTGATATAATATATATATATATATATATATATATGGTATATACATACCAGTTGTGGGATATATTTTCATATATATATATATATATATATTTGCATATATATTATATATATATATATATATATATCAAGGACAGAAACAACAACACCTTAACTAAAATTATATCACAAATCTACCATGCACAGTGAATACAAGAAAAAGGAAATAATAAAACAAGAAATAATCCATAAAGGAGTAAAAAGTACAATTCCTAACCAAGACACAGACGTCATCTTATAATATATAACTAAGAAGACTACAGACCTCACTAAAAAGAGCCCCCAAGCCAACCAAGAAGCCTTGCAACTTTGAAGATGACTGAAGATTATGTTCAATCAGGTGACTGAAGATGATCTTCAATCTAAAGATCACACGAGAGACGTCCATGATATCACCCTAATGCGAGAAATCTGAATAAAAACACTTACAGCTATATAAAACACACAGCAGTTATAATTCTGTTATCACCTATAACTTAGTTATCACCTGTATCTTAGTTATAACCCTTAGCTTAGTTATCACCTGTACCTTGGTTATCACCTATTGCGTCTCTCTCTTATCTCTTCGTAGTAATTTAATAAACATTTAAAATCCGTCCACATTCTCCAATTTCACTCTCCTCTTCCGCCATTCTGTTTTTTCCTCCTCTCCCCTCACCGCTCTCCCTCACTCTTCCCTTGATTTCTCCCATTCTTTTTGGTTCTCTTTTTGTATTCCCTGTTCGTACAATATCAATCTGTTCTTCATTACCTATCTACTCTCTTCTCTTTGGTTCTTCCTTGTGTTATCGTTCTCGGGTTATCGTTTATTGCTACATTTACTTGCTTTTCGGCTTCACTCCTTTTATTCTCTCCTATTTTGACACTTTTCTTCTCTGCTGCCCTTCCTCACTCCTTCGTCCTTTTCCCTCTTCCTTCTTTCCTTCTCCTGGTCTCCTTGTCTGGCCCCTTTCTCTCACTGAACGCCTACTTGCTCTTAGTAGATCTTATCCCACGCCTATTCACATGCCTATCCACACAGTCAAGTCTACCCTCCCAAGTTTACGGGATAATATTCAGTTTCCAGTTTCCATGGATTTTAAAAACCAATCGCCCTCCTTTGTCTGTTATTCATTTTGACTCACATTGCAATATTTACGAGTCAACTCAATTTTGTTCATGTAGATGTAGCTGTAGGGCCGCACTCTAGCTTCCAAGCCCCGCCTTACCAGTTTCTGGCCCCATTGTGCAATGACTTTCATTGCTGATGCTTCTCGTCGTATAATTGGTGAGGATCCTTATTTTTTTTTTTTTTTTGCAGGGATATTCCTGCGCGGGCCCTAAGCCTTTGGCTGGCCCAGTAAGTGTTGCTTGTTTCTGTTTTACTTGGGCGGAGTATGAGTATTTATGACTTGTATGGTCGCTTCAATAAGATTTTGTCATATGTGTTTAATAACTTCTTCAGCTCTGTTGAATCTAAGTTGAAATCTTAATGGGTTTGTGACTGTGCACTGTGTTAGATAATGTTCCAGTGGTCTGTCGAGCATTTCTCCACAGTGCTGACATTTCCTCTCATCTTCCGGAACCTGTAAGCCTAGGATCCTTATTGACCTCTACAAGCTTATTTCATTTGTTTGGGACTATCGCTGAGGAATTAAGATCTCTCTAACACCTCCGTCTGGTGCGCATGTCGTGTTTCTTCTGTTGACACTATCTCTACCTTATCTTACCTTAAATATGACCTTCTTGTTCGTTCCAGAATCACAGGGAACCTTGTTGATGATGTGATATAATTTACACAGTGCCATAGGGAACAGGGAACTATCAGGGGACAGCACCAAACATTACGACTATAGAGCACTTGGAAGGGATAAGGATTTGGGATGGGATGGCGGGGGGGGGGGGGGGGAAGGAATGGTGCTCAATCACTTGATCATTCGGGGATTGAACGCCGACCTGCATGAAGCATCGCTCTACCACCCAGTGCAAGTGCTTGGAGACATTTGGAGACACAGTGCCATAATATGCTATCAATCGATGGTCAGATCTATCAATTTAGCAAAATGGGTGTATTGATCCTCATCTGCATTCTAGTTACCTAGCAGTAAAATAGGTACCTGGGTGTTAGTCAGCTGTCACGGGCTGCTTCCTGGGGGTGGAGGCCTGGTCGAGGACCGGGCCGCGGGGACACTAAAGCCCCGAAATCATCTCAAGATAACCTCAAGATAAGATAGTATCCCGCTAGAGAAGCCGTGATTTGTTTTGTTATAGTGGCTGAGCAGTTGCACAAGACAGGACCTTCTTGCTCTTAAGCCTTGGTGACCAGGGTTGTGGAGTTTTTTTTAATCCATAAAACTGGAAATGTGTTGACAATAATGACAATGTCAGAAGGTCAATGAGGGAGCCGGTCGGCCGAGCGGACAACGCACTGGACTTGTGATCCTGTGGTCCCGGGTTCGATCCCGGGCGCTGGCGAGGAGCAGAGGTTCTTTGCATCCTATGCCCCTGTTACCTAGCAGTAAAATAAGTACCTGGGTATTAGCCAGCTGTCACGGGCTGCTTCCTGTGGGTGCATCCTGGTCGAGGACAGCCCGGGGCCCCGAAATCATCTCAAGATATCCTGAAGAAGGTTAACTGCATGAAGCAAGTGCTGCCCACCTGTACTGCTGCCACTGTTGCATCCTTGTGCAGCGGGGCTCTCCCTGAAGAGTTAAGTGAAGCTCGTATCTCCTGCAACTGCCAATTTACATATCTTCATAAATATTGAGTGCATGACCCGAGGTCAAGCGCGTGACCCGAGGTCGAGCGCATGACCCGAGGTCGAGTGCATGACCCGAGGTCGAGCGCGTGACCCGAGGTCGAGCGCATGACCCGAGGTCGAGTGCATGACCCGAGGTCGAGTGCATGACCCGAGGTCGAGTGCATGACCCGAGGTCGAGCGCATGACCCGAGGTCGAGTGCATGACCCGAGGTCGAGCGCGTGACCCGAGGTCGAGCGCATGACCCGAGGTCGAGCGCGTGACCCGAGGTCGAGCGCGTGACCCGAGGTCGAGCGCATGACCCGAGGTCGAGCGCGTGACCCGAGGTCGAGCGCATGACCCGAGGTCGAGTGCGTGACCCGAGGTCGAGTGCATGACCCGAGGTCGAGTGCATGACCCGAGATCGTCAACAAAGTGGTTACTGTGTTAGTCTGGTATAGGCATATATCTGGCGTTGATCCTATACGGGTTATTGGGTCTCCGTGCTGCTACTGCAGCTGCTACTGCTGCTGCTGCTGCTGCTGCTGCTACTGCTGCTGCTACTGCTGCTGCTGCTACTGCTGCTGCTACTGCTGCTGCTGCTGCTGCTGCTGCTGCTGCTGCTGCTACTGCTGCTGCTGCTGCTGCTGCTGCTGCTGCTATGCTGCTGCTGCTGCTGCTGCTGCTGCTGCTGCTGCTGCTGCTGCTCGTGTGGCTGTTACTGTGTATATTTATAGGTTCAGGTCTGGTTGATGTTTCTTAGACGATCTTCACCTCCCGTGTCTGTCCTCCCCTCGCTTCCCTTTACCTCACCTCTCCTCGCTTCCCTTCACCTCGCTTCCCTTCACCTTTCCTCGCTGCACCTTCCTCCCTCCCTCCCTGCACCTCCCCTTCCCTCAATAACATGAGTGTTCTTCCCCGATTATTGGATTAAGCTAGACAGCTTCCGAGGTGATCACTACACTGCGCAACTCTGTTACTCCTGTTGAGATTACCGCTCTGCAGCGGAGAGAGAGAGAGAGAGAGAGAGAGAGAGAGAGAGAGAGAGAGAATTGATGCACTGAGGCCGGAAACGAATAGAGCAATAGAAGAAAATAATCAGAAATACACGGACATAAATAGAGTGAGCAGATGGAGACAGGAAGAGAAGCAGAATAAGATGCCATATTTCAACCATGTGTTGCACTCTTGCAACAACATTGCACATGCGACATTTCAAGCATTTTGTTACACTGGTGAGTCTTACCCTGGATCTTCTCTAACCCACCTCATTGGCGGGGTAGAAATAGCCTTAGCTACTCTATCCCTTTGAGATGTATTTCTTTCTTATCTCAATAAACATACTTGAACTTGAACCTACTTCACCCATCACCTCTACTCCTGACTGGCCTCTCATTGTTTCCTAGTCCAGGAGGCCTGGTCGGCGACCGGGCCGCGGGGACGCTAACCCCCGGAAGCACCTCAAGGTAACCTCAAGGTAGTCGAATTGTTCCGCCTCCCGCCGCTGCTGCGTCTTCATCAACGTGGATTGGTCAGTACACAGCACGTCCTCTACTGCCTCTACAACCTCATTAAACTAATGCACTAAATTGCCTGAACCTAACGTAACCGAAGATCCACGAAAAGAAAACGTGACATTGAGTCAATTGTGCAAGCCACTGTGATTTGTAGCACACCATTTTTGGGGGGCTTAGGGGGGGGGGGTTATTCTTCAATATGCGGTGTATTATTCAAGAGGACGGGTTAGTGTACAACGACGGCCTTGCTTCTTGCAGGTCGGCGTTCGATTCCCGATGGTCCAAGTGACTGGGTAGCATTCCTTCCCTCCGTCCTATCCCAGCTTCTTTTTCTTATGTCCCAGATCCGTGTCTTCATATCCCAGCTCCTTGTTCTTGTATCCCAGCTCCTTGTTTTCATATCCCAGCTCCTTGTCCACGTACCCCAGCTCCTTGTTCTCGTATCCCAGCTCCTTGTTCTCGTATTCCAGCTCCTTGTCCTCGTATCCCAGCTCCTTGTCCTCGTATCCCAGCTCCTTGTCCTCGTATCCCAGCTCCTTGTCCTCGTATCCCAGCTCCTTGTCCTCGTATCCCAGCTCCTTGTCCTCGTACCCCAGCTCCTTGTCCTCGTATCCCAGCTCCTTGTCCTCGTATCCCAGCTCCTTGTCCTCGTATCCCAGCTCCTTGTCCTCGTATCCCAGCCCCTTGTCCTCGTACCCCAGCTCCTTGTCCTCGTATCCCAGCTCCTTGTCCTCGTATCCCAGCTCCTTGTCCTCGTATCCCAGCTCCTTGTCCTCGTATCCCAGCTCCTTGTCCTCGTATCCCAGCTCCTTGTCCTCGTACCCCAGCTCCTTGTCCTCGTATCCCAGCTCCTTGTCCTCGTACCCCAGCTCCTTGTCCTCGTATCCCAGCTCCTTGTCCTCGTAGCTCCTTGTCCTCGTATCCCAGCTCCTTGTCCTCGTATCCCAGCTCCTTGTCCTCGTACCCCAGCTCCTTGTCCTCGTATCCCAGCTCCTTGTCCTCGTATCCCAGCTCCTTGTCCTCGTATCCCAGCTCCTTGTCCTCGTATCCCTCGAGCTCCTTGTCCTCGTATCCCAGCTCCTTGTCCTCGTACCCCAGCTCCTTGTCCTCGTATCCCAGCTCCTTGTCCTCGTATCCCAGCTCCTTGTCCTCGTATCCCAGCTCCTTGTCCTCGTATCCCAGCCCCTTGTCCTCGTACTCCAGCTCCTTGTCCTCGTATCCCAGCTCCTTGTCCTCGTACCCCAGCTCCTTGTCCTCGTATCCCAGCTCCTTGTCCTCGTATCCCAGCTCCTTGTCCTCGTATCCCAGCTCCTTGTCCTCGTACCCCAGCTCCTTGTCCTCGTACCCCAGCTCCTTGTCCTCGTACCCCAGCTCCTTGTCCTCGTATCCCAGCTCCTTGTCCTCGTATCCCAGCTCCTTGTCCTCGTATCCCAGCTCCTTGTCCTCGTATCCCAGCTCCTTGTCCTCGTATCCCAGCTCCTTGTCCTCGTATCCCAGCTCCTTGTCCTCGTATCCCAGCTCCTTGTCCTCGTATCCCAGCTCCTTGTCCTCGTATCCCAGCTCCTTGTCCACGTATCCCAGCTCCTTGTCCACGTATCACTTCCTACTGCTATATAGCCTTTCTGGCTTGGTGCTTTCCCCTCATAATTACCTTCACCTCCTTCATCTTATTATCCTATTCCTCCATTTCTTGCTTCTCTTCCTCCGTTTTTGTTGTCTCCGGGGCAAAATTAATTCTACTCTTTTATGTTCTTCTCCTTCCACCTTTTCCCTATCCTTTGTGCATCTTTCCAACCTGCTCCCCTTCCTTTTACCTCTACTTACTTTCCCTTACCCTTCCTATTTCTCTCTACAGGCTCCTCCCTAACTTGCCCTATTATTCTCCTTTTCCTGCTCCTCCCCACCTTCCCCTGCCCCTTCCTTCTCGCCTGGCCTGATACCAAGAAACAACATGGGGGTTACTCACTGGCCTGGAAGCTCCCGATAGTGGCCACAGTTTCATCATTTTCTCTCCCGTGTTTCATTATTGCTTGCTTTATCCCTTTCCTTCCTGGTTTCTCCCTCTCTCTCTCTCTCATCTGTTTCTCATTCCTGCCCTTCTTCCTGCTCTCTCATCATTTCCCACTATCCCACCCCACTCTAGCTTAACACGCGCTTATCTTTTGGTTTGCAGAGATCGAGAAACAGCTGAAGGAGAACTACAGCATCGAGGAGAGCGACTACCTCCTGCTGGAGACAGTCGTGCTGCAGGGCGTGCCCCACAAGGCCGGCCAGCAGTGGAAGTTTGCCGGGGCCTTCTACTACGCCACCACCGTTCTTACCACCATCGGTGAGTACACACACACACAGGTTCTCACCTTTTTTTTTTTTTTTTTTTTTTTTTTTTTTTTTTTTTTTTTTTTTTTTTTTTTTTTTTTTTTTTTTTTTTTTTTTTTTGAGATATATACAAGAGTTGTTACATTCTTGTACAGCCACTAGTACGCGTAGCGTTTCGGGCAGGTCCCTGGAATACGATCCCCGCCGCGAAGAATCGTTGTTACAACCAAGTACACATTTTACTAATGCGTTAAACAGAGGCTACAGTTAAGGATTTGCGCCCAGTAAATCCTCCCCGGCCAGGATACGAACCCAGGACAAAGCGCTCGCGGAACGCCAGGCGAGTGTCTTACCACTACACCACGGTGACTGGTGAGAGAAGGAGGAGAAGGAAGGTGGCCTTATCTTAAAAGGAGACCTTATCTCCTTTTAAAAGTTTTGTGTTTAACAGGGGTGCGGGTTCCAGGCCTGTGCTGCATATTCTGCTGTTGATTTTTCATAAACAGTATAGGTTGTCTTTGAAGTGGTCCTTATTTAAGTTATTGTATATATTATGATTTTGATCAGCCTCCAGGATGCTGGTAAAGTTACTCTGGCCGAGGATGGAGGGCAGACACTTGGCGCTACCCTCTCCCAACTTTGCATGGTGATTTCTGTGGGGGTAGGGCCCAGCACGGGAGGATCGCAGTCAATTTCTTCGATCCTTTCAAATGAAAGGATCATTTTATCCTTTCAGTCCTATTGCTCTTCCTCTGCACCCACAAAATCGGTGGAAGATGACTGACCAAGTCTTGAGAATTTCTTGAGCAAGGAAAGTAAAAAAAAAAAAAACGCTGTCACACTAGAAACAATTGCTTCCTCCATCAAAAATTTAAGATCTCACGAGCACTGTGTCTACACCGACGGCTCAGTCCAATCCTCTACTGGACGGACTGCAGCGATATGTTGGTGTTATAGAAATAATATTTGCACTCAGACTGTCAGTGTCAGGTCAAACAACGGGCTGACCTCCACACAAGCAGAACTAGCGGCGCTAAACTAACTACCAGAGCATTAAAAAACACAGAAGGAATAATGTTTTGCGATTCAAAGTCTGCTCTTCAAGCTATCGAAACCTTCTTCTAGAAAATCAACACTAAGAACCTCATACAAGAAATTATAAACGAGCAGATCGCTGCACAGAGTAAAGAGTTTAGAATCTCATTTATATGGGTGCTATCTTACATACATATAACCCATTATAATGACACAGACATTGCAGACAAATTAGCATGTAACAATGATGAAGGTGAATTAGACCTAATTGTTCCTTATTTCTGTTGTCAAGACTATATTGTTCCAAACACTTAGGGCCAATAGGAGAGAAATTACTGACTCATAGGCCTGAAAGCACCAGTTTAAAAAGTTATGATTTGTTCAGATTGGAAACCTATGTATATGGGCAGCACACAACGTCGACCAGACTGTGCGACACAGTGGTTGCCAGGATTAGGGACCAGATTTACGAAGCAGCTACGCAAGCACTTACGAATCTGAATATCTTTTTTCAATCTTTGGCAGCTT